AGCTGATTTTGGAATTTTCGCAGCTACCTTCCTAATAAAAACATACACTTTTGTTTGAGAACTAGGTGCTTGTCTGTACTGCTATCGAATATTGGCTTTTTCGGTTCAAGATGCCAATAAAATTGTAAAGCCGTGACAACTGCCATACTTAAATTCAAAATAAGTTAAAACGGTACGTTAAAATCATGTTTGATATCAGCTTTTAATGTTTTCAGGTATTTTGGTAAATCGTTTGACTCTTTTACTTTACTACCAGATATGTTTGTGAGTGTATCTTTAAAAATGCAAAGCGGTTTTTTTTCTTGTTTTCCTAGTTCTTACGGAAACCTGTGATTTTTATGAAATGCTCAAGGTCTTTCTTTTTCAGGCAAAATAGGTTTTTTCCCCAAAATTACTAGTAAGTTGACGTAAAAGAAGGTCATGCTGTCTGCGTGTTCAGATAAAATGTTTCCTTTTGTTAATCTTTTTTTATTTTGAAATTGTCAAGCACTCTTAAAAGATGATTTAAAACTTGGAAAAAAACGGGGTTCTGATTGCTTGTCCGTTCCGTTCACTCTAAACTCATAAGACATTTCAACATTTGGGTTGGTCGTGATCGATATGCCGCATTGTTATCTTTGGATGAAACACATAGTCTAATAGTTTTTCGCTTTTCTACAGTACTCGGCATAACTGTAGATGGACTTGTCTTTGTTCCATTCGAGGACTAGTTTGACAACCTAAAATTAAACAAAAATGCAAGGAGAAACTCTGAAAGCTCCGTCATAGTTTGACAAGGATAAAAACATTCTCCTTTGATCATGAGAATGAGAAGGCTCACAAAATCTTCAGAATTTTTGATCGTCAATGGTATAAAAAATCCCACCAAGTAGTTAAATTTGATAAAAACTCAGTGTTTTGAATAGCTGGTTGATAAAATAACATCTGCTTCATTTTATTTATTATGTTTGATTATTTATTATTATTGTTTAGTATTTATCTAGTTCAGATTAAGTCTGTTTTTCTAATGTTGTATTAGTCATATCCACGTAAGGAGATGTGTAAAAAATGGTCACAATACACAAACCAACGCCTCACGATAAGCCACAGGGAAAGGTAACGGCTGACCATTCAAAAATCCATTTCCTAGTGCAGCATACGGATTTTTAGAATAAAAAAAAGCGTGTTTCTAGGGTCGCACAGTCTTAACTTATCACTTACTTGAGCCATTTTAATGTTCGACCATTACTAACGTTGCCGCATTCTAAAAGTCAAAATGCGTCATAAAGCAAAGGTTAATTTTTACTTACGCAACTGATATAACGAGTCCTTCCATAGTTAGCGCTCTCAGTGTGCCATCCTCCCACGTAAGATCTAATTAGCTTTATTTTTAATTAAAAAAGCATTCTGTTTACAACAAGAGACTTCGATGAGGGTGGGTCAGGCTACTTATGTTCCGCGTGGATCTATAAAACTGGAATATTGTTTTCTAACTCAGCAGTCCAGCGTTGGCCGTGGTCTGAATATGGCTTAAGCTATATATTTCAATTTCTGTGCGTTGTTCGGAAACATTCCGTGAAACGTTCTCTCCCAAAGACAGATTATTTGCCTTAACATATAAACTCTGCAAGCCGTGGCTTTCCTCCAAAGGACAGAAACTGCAAACAGACTTATGATATTTTTTTGATTCAAGCAATGTATTTACGTGGAGTATTCAGACTAATTACTATACATCGTAATTTCAAGCTATTCATTGAACAGGCATGATTTGGGCCTTTGAGTACTGTTACTTTAAGCAGCTTTTCGTCGCTGAAACGCTTTAATGTTTATCTCAATTTTGGCGCTTATTAGCACGAATATTAGGTAATGGTTACTTTACCATTGTTACTTCTTTTAATGAGTATTTACGGTCCACTTAAAATGGCCATAGCTGATGCTTGTTCCCTGTTTATGCGCAACGTTCAGCGTCTTAATATTTTTTTCAATAAAACGCGTGACTGTCCGAAACGATTTTTTTGCCCCACGACGAAGAGCATTATAATCCACCGATTGCAACCTGCCAGTGAAGGAAAAAATGCGCATTTTTATTTTGTCTGCACGCGTGCAACTTATGCTGACTTTTGTTTTCTTTTTCTAGTTCAAACAAGTTGAAGAGTACATGGCTTTTCGTAAGCTACCACGTGTACTGCGACAGAAAATTGCCAACTACTACGAGCATCGATACCAGGGCAAAATGTTTAACGAAGTGGTCATTTTGGACGAACTCTCTGAGTGCCTTCGAGAGGTGAGTCCATTTTCCTTTTTGTAATACTGCCTTCCTTTCCTTGCATATCACATTATTAGCTACTGGGATATTTGCTTGCGACCATCGTGCGTGCACTCTGCTGCTTTTAAACATAGTAAAACATTTTTCATGATAAAATTGTGGGTACATACGAAGTTTCCGAGGGGTTTTGAAGGATCCCCCTGTCCTTGCATCATCCTTCAATCAAAAGAGTTACTTTTGCTTCTGTAATCTGATCCCCACAACTTCACTCGCCTGCAATCTCAAGAACATACGAGCAGGTAATTTGACAGAATATACCCAAATTGCATGCAGATTGCACTGACGGGAGATTAAAAAGATATTGTTGGAAATGTATTTAAGAAAGTACTGTACTAAGCAAAATATTACTTAAGGGAAAGGGTCTGCTGTCTTACAGGACAGACAATTACGATTAAAATGACTTAAGATTTTACTAGCTTTGAAGAACAATTAGCACAACCTTAAGAAAATCGGCACGTTCTGTAATTTGAAGTAGTTCAAGAAATTGCATGTACGTCTGAGCAGGCGTGGCCATGGGTGTGCATGGCGTTTATCGTGTTTTTGCTCTTAAACCAAAACGTAGACAAAGCAACGAACTTCAAAGAATTGTTTCCTCTTATACTTAAAATCACAGGGCCTTAAAAAGGGGTGTGGTTAACCATAGCAGAAACGTGTCATTGAAAATATTCTTTCACGGGACATCTTCAGACAAGGTTACCTCGCGCTGGACCTTTAACTAACCTGTCTTCTTTGACTTAGACTTGAAAACCAAATAGCCTTGTGATTTCGATTTTTTCCTCAATTCTAGGCAGTAAAACGAATTCAAACGCTATTAGCAGAAAATGCAATATACTTTGCCTTTACACTTTTTAAAATCTAAAAATGCAATAAAGACGTCATTACGCACAACAAAATGTAATACTTTTTTTCTTCGATCGCTAAAACCAAAAATATACTTTCCAATGTAAACTTACGCAATTCCTTATTGATCAAGTCTGTCAAACCTAGCAGTCGACGCGCTTACTCATATTTTCCGAATTATGATTTTGAAGAAAGAGTCAGCAGTTATTTTTTGGCTAGAGTAAACACACATTTAGTCATTCGTTTACATTTATTATTCCATTAGTTGTCTCAAAATTAGCATCTGAAGGTCCCTAATTTAACAAAGAAATTAAAGAGATCAATCACGCGAGTTTCTTGAGAGCTAACACGAAAACAAATATTGCTGATAATAAGGAAATTTAAAAACAGACAAAACGGAAGTTATAACTATAGTTGAGTTTTGGTGGTGCTAACATAGACACCGGCAGCTTGTGTGCAACAAAAATGTGCAGTTCCTCAAATATGATTTCTTATATAGTATGGATTTTTTCATGTAATTTTCTTTTATGATAATCGAATGTACCTAAGTCTCAGCAACAAATACAGGTTGCCTGAGAAACTACTATCATTAATACATCGGTGACCCGTGAACCATAACTCAAGCATCTCGTTTATCAAACGTCTATCTGTCGTCGTGTAGATTTTGACAGCGTCGAATGATTCCTTATTTGTGTGAGAATCAGCCGTATTTGCTAAAGTCCATGATAATATTAAGACCACGCGTTAAGTTCTTGTCTCACCGATCGCTTTTACTTCTTCTGAAACAAAAAATGTTAACAGCTTTGTATGTTAATTTTATGAACTATCACATTAAGCTACTTTCTAACCATCACGTGATGATCTTTCGATTATTAGTGCACGGGCGGCTTTGAACGTCAAGGCTATGTTTTATTTACCTCAATCATGATATTTAAATGAGGCTACTTAAGTCTCTACTGAGCGTATTGCGATCGCATTTCAGAAAGAGACACAGCTAAAGGAAAAATACGCTTTATTTTACAGGTTAATATCCAAACTTTTCAGAAAAAATGGTTCCATTGACTGAGAGCGATAAGAAAAGTAAAACGCATACTCAAAATCTAGTGGTTTACGTGATATCTACATCCATTATGTAGACACGTATGATTTCAACTTCTGAATTTCTTCTTTTTCACATGTAAGGTAGAGTGTTAGATATGGAAGCCTACAACGCTGATATGCCGATATGTAGATTGACATATTCCGAAAAATTCGGCCCATAGTGCGGGAAGACTTCACAGCCATCAATTTAGAGTGAGTGAGCAACCTCATTAAGAAGGCGATCATCAAATCACTTGACCATTTTTAAGTGTCGCTGCATTATAATATCAGTGAAAAACTGAAAAGCGCATTCGGGGCCTTTTTAAGGAAGGTTGGAAAAAGTAAATAAAGGGCAGTAGAAAATGATGGAGCGAATGCAGACATATATAAATGGCCAGATTTGGGCTTAAGGTGTGTGAGCAGAAAGTAAACGGCGGATGTGATATAAAAGTTTACG